ACAATCTGACTTTTCTAATACATTAAAGTCTACTTCAATGAAATTCCAGCAGAGAAATCCCTAAAAGGATTAAGAGTCAGAATGCAGAGAGCTGAATGGACAAGTACACAGGCCACATACCTGCCATTCAGTTCATGCTCACTTTGAGTTTGAATACACAAACTTTCAGCTTTTGGTCCTGACATTAAGGGATCACATCTGAAGTTTAAAACAAGTCTTTGATGAAGTGTATTTTAAAGCATATTTCAATCAAAATGACTATTTACTCACCCTCAAGTTTTTATAAACCAGTTTGACTTTCTTCTGTTGAATATAAAAGAAGTTGCTTTAAAGAAAGATGAAAACCAGTAACCATAGACTTCCATAGTCGGAAAAATCAAATATCATGGAAGTCAATGGTTACCGGTTTGCAACTTTCTTCAAAACATATTTTTTTTTATGCGTTCAAAAGAAGAAAGAAGTTCAAATAGGAAGAAGTAAGGGGTGAGTAAATGAGTTTTATGTGAACTATCCCTTTAAATCAGCTTTAAAGTAAATGAGCACAGCCAGATACTATGCAGATAATGAGCACAGCCAGATACTATGATTTAACCCTGTAAAACACCTTCCATTGTTTTCCCAGGGCACGCCAACAGTGACGGTTTGGTTCAAGCCAGTGTAAATCTTATCTTCTTTCTAAAAACAGGAAAGTGTTGGCAGAAAAGCGAGTGGGAAAGTTCCATTGTCTGCCCAGACCTCTGACACCAGGTTTTCCTCTGCTTTCAGACCTGCCGTTGACTGTCACTTTACTAACAGGAGACAGAAGTGTTTCTCCACCCAGATCACACCGCTGCTCATTTCTGCGGATATACACTCATTAATTCTCCTGTGTCTGACGTCTTTGCCTTGAGTCAGTTTGGAAGTGTTTACTCCACTCTTGCCATTTCGGTTTCAGTGTAGCTTTATGCAAAAAAGAAAATATGCTTAATAATTTAAATGATTTGGTTGGAAATTCCAGGAAATCATACTTATGTTATTCATAAATTGGAACATTAAAAAATAGTATTTATCTTCCATATTTAACAGGACTCAAAAGCTAAATAAATAAATAAATCTTGGAGGACGTGGGGTCGGGAAGTGGGGGGTTATGTTTGAATAATTCATTTCTCATGAAAAGCAACAAGATGGCAGCCTGACCTAGATATCTAACCCCAATTAAAAATGCATGACTCTCACTTGTCCTGTGATTTAAATGATTCCGATAGCTTTATATGGAGATAGAACGGTTGCATAAAACTCCAAACAAATGTATTTTGATCCAATAATAAATTTAAAGGGATTTACAAAAAATAGGCATATTCACAAAATAAATCAAATAAAAACCAAAAATAAATCTTAGAGTTACACAAACAGAAAAAATAGTAAGAAAAATTAGACTTGCAAATAAAACAATCATATACAATCACCGGCCACTTTATTAGGCACACCTTACTAGTACCAGGTTGGACCCTCTTTTGCTTTCAGAAATGCCTTAATCTTTATGGCAGATCGAACAAGGACATTATACCCTCACACAGTTGCTACAGATTTGTCAGCTGCACATCTATGATGTGAATCTCCCGTTCCACCACTTCCCAAAGATGCTCTATTGGATTGAGTTCTGGGGACTGTGGAGGCCATTAGAGTACAGTGAACTCATTGTCATGTTCAAGATACCAGTCTTGACACTGTGGATACTAAATACACTGTGATCATAAAGGGATGGACATGGTCAGCAGCAATACCCAGGTAGGCTGTGGCGTTGACACCATGCTCAATGGGTAAATGTATACATATACATTTAATGTTTTTCTGTCACAAGAACACTATTATTTACTGGACAATTAATACTATACTGTGCCTAAAAAATAAGAATTAATAAATTAATAATATCCCAGAGATGGGTTGCGGCTGGTAGGGCATCCGCTGCATAGAAACATGCTGGATAAGTTGGCGGTTCATTCCGCTGTGGCGACCCCGGATTAATAAAGGGACTACGCTGAAAAGAAAATTATTGAATGAATAAATTAATAAATTAATAATTTATAAATTTGAATCAAAATATATTAAATATCTTGTACAAAATATTGCAACCATTATCTGAAGAATAATTACATTCGAAGGCTATCAGTTAAGAGAATTGTTCTCAAACATTCAGTCACAACAAAGGAAATGTTATGAGACAGATTGGAGATAACATCACTGTTGGTCTAGAGAATAAAGATGAAATATATTTTCTTGGTCAACAGGTCAGCACTTATCTGTTCAATTATACAAACATGAAACACAATGCTCTGCAGTCCTGAAACAACCTGTGAAGTTGAGACATGGAAACGGACGCCTCCTCACAAACACTGTTCCTTCGGGGTGATAACAGGACCAGTTGACATTATAATCATGGTTGATGAGTTATTCAATTTGACAGTTTGATTTCGGTGAAACAGTTAAGAGTAAACTTTCCAATGAACAAAGGAATGGAGCCAGGTTCGCCAGCACAATTACATCTAATTTATGGCCATGTCAATCAGACATGTATGAGGTGATGATTGCTGTCTCTAAAACACGCTTCAGCATCAACACAGCCTGACTTTGATCTGCCGCACACTTTCATTTTACCACATTTTGACAGCTTCTTCATTTATTTTCTTTATGTAAGGATTTTTTTTTATGCCAATATGTTAAAAAATGTTAAACAAAATAAAATAAAAAACAAGATTTCTATATGTAACCCATTTGAATGAATGGTATCATGATGCTGGTGACCTAAACTAACCATTGATGTAATTCAATGCACTTGCTTGCTATCAAACTGTTTGCTCTATGTTCTATGCAGGTCTATAAAATGCATTTTATACAAATCAAATGCTAACTAGGCTATATTTCAAAATGAAAGCCAACGATACCATGAAATATAGCAAACACAGCTCATTGACAAATACCACAAAATGGATGAAAATTTGTAGAAATAAAACTGATATACAACATAATAAGCATATTAAAGTACTGATGAATCACTCACTCACACACTATCACTCACACAGCGAACACTCTCCGCCAAAGTCTAATTACTCTGGCATACGTTTCATGTGGTGGATGACCTTCCAGCAGCCCGCAACCCAGTGCTGGGAAACACCCTTACACTCTCCTATTCACTTAGTTTACCCAGTTTACCTAAACTGAATGTCTTTGGGCGGAGGAAACCGACGCGAACCTGGGGGACATGCAAATTCCACGAAGAAATGCTTCCTGGTCCAGCCGGTACTGACCAAAAGTCTTGCTGTGAGGCGACAACGCTAACCACCGAGCCATGTACTTATGTAATATTTGTTAAAAACTAAATTCATGTGACTTTATCAAGAACAGATCAGCTGTAAGGGATCTGATTAATATGACAAAAATCATATTTCACTGTCAGACATGCGCTAATAGAGAGCGATGATCTGTCTAAATAATGGGAGTGTCTGAGTTTAAAGAAGAATGATTACAGTCCATCTGCTGGGCTTCTGAGTGAATTCTAATGACACCCTCGAGATCTCAGCAGCTGCCTGCTTTGGTCACTTCATTTAGAAGCATGAAACGCAAAAATACAGACAGGTGAATTGCTCAGAAATATATTTTATGAACAAATGTAATACAAATATACCACGAATAAGATTTAAATATATAGTTATTAGTACATGCAGTTTGTGGCCAATTTAATTTTGTGAAGTTTCTTTTATTTTATTCTGAAAGCTTTAAATATAAAGACATAATACACTACCTGACAAAAGTCTTGTTGTCAATCCCATTTGTGAGAGCAACAAAAATTTAACTTGACTTGTAGTCGATCATTTGGAAAAGTGGCAGAAGGTCGATTTTTTTCTGATGAATCATCTGTTGAACTGCATCCCAATCATCACAAATACTGCAGAAGACATACTGAAACCCACATGGACCCAAGATTCTCACAGAAATCAGTCAAGTTTGGTGAAGGAAAAATCATGGTTTAGGATTACATTAAGTATGGGGGCATGCAAGAGATCTACAAACTGGATGGGAACATCAACAGCCTGAGGTATGAAGACATTTGTGCTGCCCATTACATTACAAACCACAAAAGAGGGCAAATTCTTTAGCAGCATAGCGCTCCTTCTCATACTTCAGCCTCCACATCAAAGTTCCTGAAAGCAAAGAAGGTCAAGGAGCTCCAATATTGGCAAGCCCAGTCACCAGAAATGAACATTATTAAGCATGTCTAGGTTAAAATGGAGGAGGCATTGAAGATGAATCCAAAGAATCTTGATAAGCTCCTCCAAGCTCATGAGAGTCATACACAGTATTATTTCTTTTTACACTGCACTTTATATTCTATACTACACTATTTCTGTTAAGTGACAAGACTTTTGTCTAAGCAAAATCAGACCTTACTGCTCTAATTAAATTATTAAAAATCAAGACATGATCATATTTTATTTTGGTAAAACAAGTTTAATCTAGAGGCCTTTGCATTTCATATAAAGCCACTTCTTATACCAAATGATCAACTAGAATGATCAACTTGCTGTTTTTAAAACTGGGATAGTTGACAAGACTTTGTCAAGTAGTGTATGCTTCTTATTATATTGGAAATTATGTTTTAAATAAATGGTGCTAATGACAGAACAATATTATGCAGCGCAATTATTTTTAACATTGATTAAACAAAATTATAATATTAATTAAAAACTGTATTGCGCACCGAGCCAGCTTTATAAAAAAGAATCTAAAGGATCATTAAAGACTAATGATGCTGAAAACTGAAATGTGTGCAGTGCACTAGACTAACTGCGAATAGTTATATCTACACACTGTTCATATTTTGTTGCTTTTGATTAATTTCATTGTTTTCATTTGTAAATCAATAGATTCAAATAAAAAGTATTACATTTAATTAGTATCAATTTCTTAAAATTAACATGCTCCAACTGTTCACACAAGCAACAAACTAACACTACAGCCAATAATACTCTCTTTAATTATTTATTGTGCCCATCATGAAGCAATGAAGAAAGCTTACAACACTAAATTAAACTCAATCACAGCTCTATTTCACTTGTGTTAATGGACAAACAACCACTATCAACAACCAATTCACATTCACCAAATTTGGATTTTTATATACAGCAATATGTCACACATTTCAATTCTTTTGAGGTCTGTGGAACAGGAAAGGCAACAGAGAGAGCTGCTGGACAAATAACACAATGATCCTCCCTCTTTAGCACACACACCTACAATAAAGTCCCCCAAGTGCTTTTTATTTTACAAAAATAAATACTCATTACCTGCAATGTTCATTAGACAGCATCATTAGGTGTATTTGTGAGCTGTAAGTGTTATTGATTGTGCTAGTCAGCTCAAAGGTGAGGTTTGGTTTGATATTTCATAGTGTTCCCATGATGAGCCAGCATCTTTAACTCAGGTCCCCTTGTAGCTTCTTCATGATCTGGCTGTTGGGTGGAGCCGAGGTGAAAAGAGTACCTACAAAAGCGTGTGTCCCCCACATCACATGCCGAATCACTTTACAACACCCCAGGTCCTCAATCTGAAAGCCTAAATGTCGATACCGGTCATCGGTTTCAAAGAGCGTGTTGTTTGTGTATGAGCCGAAGTACTAAGGGCAGAAAGATTGAGAAATGTTAAGGGTCAACTTCTAAACCGCAAAGTTAACTAAAAGTTTGATATACCGTGAAAATCTAAATTTAGATTTTTATTAATAGTATCGATATTACTTTTTTGTTTTTTTAAGCATTTCATTGCATACTGTACTGTATATGACTGTGTTTAAGAAATACAATTTTATTTAATTATTTTATTTATTTAAGTTTGGGTTACACTTTAGTTTAGGTCACAATTCATGCTATTAACTACTGGCTTATTACCTGCCTACTAATAAGACAACTGTTTATTAGTACTTATAAATAGAGGTGTAATGGATCACGGTCGGATCACAACCCACAGTCTGGAACACACGTGAGCTGCGGATTAATAAATTTTTTTTACTGATAGATCCTAAATTTGTAACGATCACAAAAAAATCGCCTTTCGTGTAAATCAAATCACATGTATGAAAGCATTTAGGCTTTCCTGTAAAATATAAAGAAGTTGTGGTAGGTTATTCGGGATGTGGTAAGTTTCATTAAAGGTGTTTTCTGTCACTACTTGTTTAGCCTACATTAATGCATTTAGTGTGAGCTGCACGTTTAACCATTAAACGATCAAGATCTCAACACCCACGCAACATAATTTATAAACAACGGTGACTTCCATATGTTTATTATTAATCCTTCGAATCACTGCATTCAAATCTGTGTTCCAAAAACGCAAAAATCAAGTGAGTTATTTTTTAAGTCCTTTGAGTTAGTTATGAAGTTACAATCAAATAACACAGAAGTACTGGAATATTAAAGTTTATATTTTAGATATAACCACAGGTGTTTATGGTAAAGATTAAAATCCCAGCCAAATGCATTTAACGACCCTCAAAAATGAAAGTTGTAGGCAGAAATTACATTATTCAACCAATAAGTTAAATGAATATGAAATATGGCATTTCATATTTCTTCAAGAATGACACATCTAGCAATGAAACATGAAGTTTTATGAGTGAATAACTGAATCATTTTTTTAAAATGAGACTAAAAATAAAAATTGGTTGTACAAATTATAATGTTGGGTTTATATATTTAGAGTTATCAGCAACAATAGTAGTAACAGTGAACTTTTCACAGAACTGAATAATAGTACTGAGTACTGAAAAATAAAGAAATATTCAGCTAATTATTTCTTTATTTTTAATAAAATTACAGGTTATAAGTTTTGTTTGTTAAAACCAAAAGTTTCTTGCAGTGCTGTAATAAATGGAAAGCAAATTACATATGTCTTCTCCCCTTTTTGGCTGATCTGAAATATGCTCCAATCCATGACTAAAAACCATAATGTGATCGAACTGTGAGATTTGTGATCTGTTACACCACTACTTATAAAGTATGTTCTTATTCTGCATCCCTAATCTTATCCAAAACCTAAACCCAACTTCTACCTTACTAACTATTAATAAACAGCTAATTAGTAGTTTATTAAGCTAGTAGTGTTAATTGTTAGTTAATACTGTGAATTGTGACCTAATTTAAGTAGATTCATTTATTATACCATGCTTCAGAAAATGGATCATAAAATATGCTTGAAAATGTTTAAATATGACTAATCAGTGACTTTCAAAATGTAGGAAAGTGTAGCTTGTTCTCTAATTTTCATCTTCACATTATGTTTATGTATGACTTACTGCAAGTCCAGATGATGGGTCTATAAAATCGGCCCAGAATCCTTCATTTCGGAGAGCGTGGCAAATCTCCTTTGCACCTTCAATAAACTGAACACAACACAAATGATCAGGCCTCGTCATTCATTCATCTCTAATGAATGGCTATAAACGTAGAGCCTCCATTCAGGTAAGCTTGCGTCATTTTTGGCACATGCACGGTAACAATTGTCTCCTTTGAATGCAGCGACTTACAAACAAACATCAGAATGAGAAGAATACAGTCCCTGCAGCATTCCTACAGCAGGGCCTCATGCCAGTTCAACAGTGACTTTGCAGACAGTTAATAACACAGAGCGTTCTCTCTCATACACATTCTGGAGGACATTTACCCTACTGCCGCCACATTATTGCACTAAAGGACAAAACAAAGTCACAGGGAGGAGCTAAACATGAATAGTAATGAACAGTAATTGATATGAAGCAACTTCAGTTAGGCATAGTATGTAAATAAAAGCTACATATATATAATAAAAAGTTTTCTATTTTATTATTTTTTCTTATTAATAAAAAAGTCATGTGTTTATATGATGACAAAGCTGGATTTTTTTCAGCAACTTTACTACAGGTTTCAATGTCACTAATTATACCAATATGCTGATTTCTTAACATTTCATTATTATAATCAATGTTGAAATAGTGTTACTAAATATCTTTTAAGAAAAATGTTTTTTTTAATCAGGATCTTTGCTGAATATAAAGTGCAAAAGAACAGTATTGTTTGTCATATGGCTGGGAGATTTGGCCTAAAACAAAATTAATTATTTTCAATATTAAAAGTAGAAAATAAGAAGTATTCATACTGTCATGCATATCCTGTAAATAACACTTTAAACAGTGCATTTCTTGGATCTTCTGTAAACAAATGTTTTAATTTAAATAACTATTTTAATGTAATTGAAGGCAAACATTTGCCTTCTCAATGCATCTCTGGCACAGATTCCAGTCACTAATTAATTAAAATGTAATTGAAAAAATAAATAAATAAATAAAAAATCGACCTAAAAAAATAGATTGATTATTGGTTCCAAATGTCGATTTCGATTACTTTTAGATAAAACTATGACAAATAGTTTGAAATATTATAAATGTATGTACTCTTACCTCATGAACTGAATGTGTTTTTGCAGGATAAAATATAACAGATTTTTTATATCTCAAATTTCCCCAAAACATTTGGTGGTATATTACAGTTTAAGCATAAGATAACAAGATTACAGTTAAAGGAAAACAGCTTAAGCTGTATTATTTTTTAAATAGAGCCATCACAAAAAACTAATAATATTGATTTTGTTAAAGATTTATTTGTTAATATTTGATAGTGTTAATGAAATATTGTTTTGTTGTAAACACTTTTGGTAAATAATCATAGTAGTAAATAATAGTTGTAAATAATAATAGTAGTAAATATTGAAGTGAAAATTCTGAAGGATCACGTGACCCTAAAGAATGAAGTTAAGCCAATAACAAAAATTTAATTTCAATGACAGAAATAAATTTGTCTGTGAACTCACTTTAGCCAGCAGTTCTTCTCTCTCCTGGTCCACTTGCTCAGTCCAGGCAGTCATGTCGTTCTGCGTCCTCTGTGTCACAGTGACCACCATCATGCCAGTTGAGGGAGCCTCAGGGAACATGGACTCAAAATCTGAATTAAATGAACAGGCCACGCATTCATAAATAAACATCAACTAGAGCAAAAAAAAAATTAAAATACTAATTGTTACATTCTCAAGCAGAGCACATTATTTAGTGCATAAAATACACATGTAAGTGCTACCCTCTTGTGGTGGGATTTTACATTACAACATTTCAACAAGTCAAACAACATTAAAAGTGCTTTCTAGCGGTCTGAAATACTCTTAATAAAACAGCATACCTCTCTTTAACAATTCAGGACAAGACTGAATGGCACACTCCACACTGGAATGATCAAAAAACTGCTCTGCTTTATCCATGTTCTGTGCTGTAGACGTTTTATCATCCTCCTAAAAACAAATAAATAAATAATATTATATATATATATAAACTTTGATTAATTAAAAGTAGCTTGAGTGAGATAAAGTAACTTATTTCAAAAACAAAAACATCATTTGAATATTAGCTAAACTATAATTCATTTACGGTGTCTTTGTTACAAATGTTCCCATTAACTTATTATAGTAATTACAATTAATTATCCATATTAAATGTCAAAGTGATCATTTTAAAAAATATATATTAATAATAACAATCAAATATCTAAATAAATAATAATAACAATTAATAACTCCATAATTATAACTAATTTAGTTATTGATTAAGAAAATGTATTGACTGACTAGAAAATTAGTAGTTTCTGAAAGTATCCTACATGAAGCTCATTGATGAACTGGGCCAGGATGAAGTCATGTCTCTGGTTGTTGGACTGAGCAGTGAGCACATCTGGCATCACACTATGGACCGAAGTGGTTCTCTGCTCCACTGGACTCTCCAAATGACAGTCAAAACCCACATTACCCGGCAACTGGAAACGTTTATCCTGAGGTCCAAATGGGCCCATGCTCTCATCCGGCCACACAGTCCTTGGTGCTGAAAATAACCGAGATCATTAAAAATATAAAATAAAAACACTCTTTCTACACATCATCAACTAGAAATACATGTGTGAATAATGACCTGCATGCCTTTTTTAATTAAGCTAATTTGTAAATGTTTTACCATGACCTCTTTTACGCCAGATAACAGTGGCTTTGATATTCTACAGGGAAACAGTCATTTACCAATGTCAGGAGTTGAGGTGTTCAGGTGTGGCTCATCTGATCCTGACGCCCCAGAGAAACTTCTTGCTCCAACAACACGATGAACTAGAACATGAAGCCCTGGTAGGTACGTCACCAGTCGAGCTCTGCTGCAGAGCACCTGACAAAACACAGCAAACACTTACACATCTTTACCTGTAGATTTCATCTTTTATTTTATAGAGGTACAACAGCAATTGCAAACACTATCACATGTAAGCGAGAATATATTTTCACATAGGACTCAAGACAAAGCAATTATAATAGATGTGAGATTTACATTCACTTACACTGGCCATCCTGTTGGGCTTCTCTTGTTTACGGTTCACCTGTAGGTAGAAAAAAATGTATAGAGTTGCATAGACAAGCTGATGTTCAATAACACAATGATAATGAACATTTCTGATTTATTGCTATTATCATGGGCACTTCAAAATACTGTAAAATAATGTAATCATAATTTAACCTTTCAGAATGTCTTTTAAAATATTCAGAGTGTTGTATTTACTTTGAAACATATTGAAACTTTAGCTAATCTGGACTGTGACAAGCCAGGGGTGTGGATCAAAAAGGTTTAGTTTTTTTTTCAAGGCACTTTGTTTGGTAATACTTTACAATAAGGCTTTATTTGTTAACATAGTTAATTAAACTAAACTGATGATGAAAACTACTTGTTAAGCATTTGTCAATCTAAGTTGATGTTAATTTACTACTGCTTAATAACACATTAAAATCTAAAGATGTAACCATTTCATTTAATGGGGGCAATAGCATATATTTTTTGTATGTGAGGTCAAATGCATCTTCAGATATATTAAAATAATTAAGTAAAACATTTTAGCCATTTCTTACTTTTGCGCACTAATAAACCTTTGTTGTAAACAGTTGATTATTATTATTATTATTTTAAATATTGTAAGCAGTTGTCATTTTTCTTTTTTAAATAGTTCACACACAACACACTCTAATAATCTATTAGGCATCTGACAAAAACATGGACAAAATATAAATGAGACTTATGTTTCCACCATTTCATAACCCCAAAAAACTGCCGAGTGAAAAACAAATCTGCAACAATCATTCTCGGTAGTAACATTTCCTCTTTTCAATTTTAATTATATAATAATCGCTATTCTGTTATAATAACTAACTGTGTGTAAGAACACAGGGTAAAGTAACCTCTGTCTGTTGTGTTTAAGTTAGTTTACAAGCATTAAGGTCCTAAAACGGCAATAGACAAAAAAGAAAACAATTTACGACTATACACGACTAAAGCTTTCGGATTTAAAACGATTCCAAAAATAAAACAGAATAAACATGAGTATGTAAACAATGTTTCTCTTTACGCATGTCTCAATAGCCCATTGGCTAAAGCAAGTCGAAGAGGTAACTTACACCTCTAACGTTAATAGTAAGTTACTACTGTAACGATGATACATATTTTTTTTTATTTTGTTTGGCGATTTATTTGTGGATACGCAATAACGACGTATAAGTTTGATTAAACTGTTCTTACCTGAATTTTGTAGTGTGTATGTTAGCTGTTAGCTTACTTCAAGCTAGTCTTGTTTAACCTTCTGATTACGTAACAACGGCGGCGAGTAAAGGACAAACACAAAAACCTCCGTGAAATGTCCTGCAGCTCCACCAGATGTCAGCAGAACACAGAAAATGTGTGTGTGTTTTTTATTTTTTTTTTTCCTTCAGGCTCAGACTTGTGTTCTGGTAGAACATTTATCAGAAATTTCCACAGATATAAATAGTTATTCCCACTGTCCAACCATAAACAATATTTAATATATTTTAATATAGAAGGGTGATTAAAAATAGTATGCTTTCTTTGCTGGTTTCTTTCATACTCTTTTATTTTAAAATTATACTTTATTTATCTTTCTTTCTTTCTTTCTTTCTTTCTTTCTTAGATATTTATAGGTTTAGGCTATACATAAAACATATTTTAGCTATTTTTATCTCCACTTATGTCAAATGTAATGCTTTATTGTTACTTTTCAGTAAGAAAATAAACAGCTCGTTGCCATCAAGGACATGAAGTCACAGATCTGTGTTACACTGTAAAACCCAACGCTCAACCATTTAAGAAAACTGATTGCAACAAACTAAGTAAAACAAAATAATAATCCTAATGAGTACTGTGAACTTAATCTATCTGAGTAAACTAAGCAATTTGAGCACAGTAAAACCCAATAAATGAAGAGAACTCAAAACTAATTGAGTACTTTAAAACCTAATAGGTTAAGGCAACTCAAATCATTTAAGGAAACCGACTGCTAAAAACCATTTGAGTTCAAAAACTTATCTATATGACTATACTGTGAACTTACTCCATTTAATTTGAAGTAATGAAGTGGTAAGTCTCGATTGAGCATTAAAAATGTACACCAGCAATTAAACAGAAGAAAAACTCAAAACTACAGCGACCTCAGTCGCATTATTAAAAGAAATAAAACGTGTTCAACCTTTAAAAATCTTTTCAGAGGATCCTTAAACAGCTCCACAAACAGTATCAACAGCTTCACACAGCATCACTGAGTTCAAAACTCTTTTCAAAAGAGTAGAATTAATTCCCAGTAAATTTTGAGTTAACAACACTTATTTCATTAGATGCATTTGACTGTTGGGTTTTACAGTGTGTGATAAATTTTCCCAAAAGATTAAAGATTTCTCTTTATTAAGTCTTTCATTAAGAATCCTTGACTGGTCCAATACTTTTATAATTGTTACTTATAAAGCATTAGTGTTTGTTTTTTGAATTTGAAAAGTATTGCATTGTAATTCACATTCATAAATAAAATGCTCTTTCAGTCTGCTGTCCACAGACCTCTTTACTTTCAGCTAAGAAGAAAACTTGACATTTAAAAACCAAACAAATTTATATAGATTTTTCCAATGCTTCTGAGCCAGAAAATGTGATTTATATGGTCTATTAAAACGTCTTGGCATTTGTTCCTTTATTCTGCTTAAGCCAGCTTGGGAGTACTTGAAAAAATGTGAATTCTCGGCAGTACAGCATGCTTTCATTAAACGACAACCAGAAAACCTTATTTCATCCTCCACTGTTGTATTTTCAAATGTAAGTTGCACTAAATAGTTTATAACTAAAAGACAAAAACATCATGACATTCTTAAAGCATCTTTCAATAGTGAACAATCTGCTAAATATTCATTCATTTTCAGCTTAGTCCCTTTATTAATCTGGGGTCGCCACAGTAGAATGAACCGCCAACTTATCCAGCATATGTTTTATGCAGCGGATACCCTTCCAGATGCAACCCATCACTGGGAAACAACCTTACACATTCATTCACACACATACATTACGAGCAATTAAGCCTACCCAATTGACCAATAACGCAATTGGGAACACGGAGAATTTGCAAACTCCACACAGAAATACCAACTGACCCAGCTGTGAGACAACAGCACTACCTACTGCACCACTGTGTCTCCCTTATCTGCTAAATAGTTCAAAACTTATGTCTCCCATGTCTACCTCAGAAACTACTAATGAAAATAACTATTTTATCACATTGCATTTGTACAGTTTCTGTTCTGGCTTACAATATTCAGTTTTTGTTCTCTTCTTTTGGTCTTTTAATCGTGTGTTATGGGTCAGTTGTGAAAATACTAAAAACAGCAACAGCAAAAAGCATATTTCTGTAAAGAACAGGAGGCTTTTGTTGTGGCCCATTATGGCTTGCACTGCTCTTCTAAAAATCTAAGGACATTCCAGGTCACCCTGAAGCACTGAATTGCATTACCAGGCACCGTATGTCAGTTCTGTCAATGAGCATGTGGCAACTCAACATCTAAAAGCTGTATCAAAGCCAAAGGGTTTCTTCTCAACAAAAGGCACAGTTGAAAACCACAGCGCAGCACTCTCTCCAATGAGGTGTAATGGAATTACAAAGTAGCTTCAGGTTTTTCCTCAATGTTCTTTTAGTGGCACTTGGCCACTTGGCTGCCTTATTTCCTTAAAAACACAAGAAGTCCTAAGATGACGTTTTCCAATGTCTAATGTGTATACTGAGAATACATCTATAAATGAACACGAACATAGTTCTGAAACCTTATTGTGAAGCAAATCTGTTGTATGTAATCAGTTTTCAAACATGCAAAAGACATTCAATGTTTTTCCAAATTATTCTATTCAGGAAGGAACAAATCTTGAAAATTAGTTATTCATAAAAGGGAAAAGGTATTGTTAAACTCTCACATACTCTAGTCTAGTCTTGGTTTGAAGTTGTTGACTTTCAATATGTTGTTGTCAATCATCCTAATTTAATGAGAATTCCTACATTTAAATATAACGTTTTTTCTGGACACTCAAAGTGCTTTACACATTTTTTTTAGAGGAATCTCCTCATCCATCACCAGTGTGCAGCATCCACCTGGATAACACAATAGCAGCCATATTGCACCAGATCGCACAACATACACCAGCTGTGAGACAGTGATATAGCCTATTATGATATGGGTATGGTCATGTTGGACAGAGGCCACTTAAGCCAGTGTGCACATTTGGCCAGGATACCGGGGTTAAACCTCTTTTTCGAAAGACATCCTGTGATTTTTAATGACCTTGGTTTAACATCTCGTCTGAAAGACAGCACTCTTTCATAGAGTCCGCGTCAATACACTGGGGTGTTAGGGCCCACACAGATAGCAGGTTGACTGCCCCCTGCTGGTCTCACTAACACCACTTCCGGCAGCAATCCAGCTTTCCCATGAGGTCTTCATCCCATTCAGGTACTGACCAGGCGCAGCCCTGCTTAGCTTCAGTGGACGACAATGTGAGAGTTGCAGGGAGCAGGCTGACAGCTACCATTCATTAGAAATGAACCAGTCAAAAGTAGAAATCCCTAAATTTTAAAGTAACTTTAATTAATTTATTTATTTTTGTTCATGCATGTCTATATGTTTTGTAGTTTTATTTTAATCATCTAACTTGAACTGATTGGTCTAATCTAATGTTGCTTTGAAAACCTTTAAATCGGATATGTTAATGACATATTATGTTATGTCATTAACATTATATATATATATATATATATATATATATATATATATATATATATATATGTTATGATAATAATCTAAAATAAAAATTAAAAGTTTTGTTGGTCATTGTTTTTTTTTTTGTTGTTGTTTTTTTTAATATTTGAGAAATGATTGTACTAAAGCTCCACCAAGAAAGCAGTTCCTAACCAGAGACAGATAATCAAACACAAAGTATTAATTTGAGTTTTAATATTTTATTAGCTCACCAAATGCAAAGATTTCATGTAAAAAAGTTCCTTGTGTATCAGTAATCCAGTGATATATATCACATATACAGTTGAAGTCAGAATTATTAAACCCCCTTTCATTTTTTTTTTTTATATTTCCCAAATGATGTTTAACAAAGCAAGGAAGTTTTTACAGTATGTCTGATATTTTTTTCTTCTGGAGAAAGTCTTATCTGTTTTATTTTAGCTAAAATAAAAGCGGTTTTAAATATATTATGAACCATTTCGGGGTCAAAATTATCAGCCATTTTTTTTACAGAACAAACCATTGTTATTCAATACCTTGCCTAATTACCTTAACCTGCCAAGTTTACCTTATTAACCTAGTTAAGCCTTTAAATGTCACTTTAAGCTGTATAGAAGTGTCTTGAAAAATATCTGGTAATATATTATTTACTGTCATCATGACAAAGATAAAATAAATCAGTTTTTATAAATGAGTTATTAAAACTATTATGTTCAGAAATGTGTTGAAAAAAATCTGCTCTCTGTTAAACAGAAATTGGGGGAGAAAAAACGGGGTCTAGTAATTCAGGGGGGCTAATAAGTCTGACTTCAACTGTACATCAAATATATATTATATAAATAATAACCATTCTGTAAAGAAAATTAAAAGTTTAAAATGTATTAGAATGTATGGCAAACAAAGAGGATTAGAATGTACAAAATAACCTGTTTGGTAACAAGACAAACATCAGTTAAACTGATATAAATACTTCCATTTTTCAGACAGCCAGCAATCCAGAGTTTAACAGATATAAAGTAGTAAAGGAGACATGGTGCAGTAGGCATAAATAATGAAATATTGTTCATCTCGAGGATTTCAAAGACAAAACATCCTGAGTTCAACAAGCCTCCACATGCTGCATTTGCTCATACTTTGTTTAGAGTGGTCTTTCTGTGCACTACAACATGCATGTACAACTAGCCAGAAGCACAAGCCATTTACTAGAGCATGAAGAAGATACTGGTGCTGTGATTTTAGTTGATAAAACTTGTTCTTCAAATGTATGATGGGTGTGATATTTCTCTGCAAACCAGAAGCACATAATACTTGCAGCTTGATGATTTGAATTGTTTAGAGACAAATCACCTATTTTGCTTGGATTGCTACTCTGCATCCTTTCACATTATGTTAGTTGTTTAATTAATCAACTTGTTTTACAAAAACATGAAATGCTACAAAGCTAAATGTTTTTGGCCCTTTTTTTTGCCTTATCTTTACATTTTAAAATATATAGTATAAAGTTGAATTACAAAAACAATCATCTTGTACTGCAGGGATGTCAAACTCAGT